GGTAAGACTTTAATGGAGCTGATTTCCTCTATTGCTTCTGCTCATCTTGTGCCAAGTTTCTCTCTGGCAGAGATGCTCCTGGTCTGAACTTCACCTGATAGTGTTATTTATCTCGGGAGTGCCCAGCTGCAATTGCAGCAGAGAGGAAAACTGTAGCTGTGTTGTACTCCTGGTGTCCCCAGGCTGCTCCCTGGGCCAGTGCCAGCAACTCAGGCGGCAGTGGAAGAGCTTCCCCTCTGCTCTGCTTTGTTTCCTCTTCTCTACAACACATGTGACTCTACCCTTGCTGGTGACTTGCCTGGAATGAGTCTCTCCACCCTCTCTAGATCTGTAACTTACTATAATTAGCAAGTGGCTTTCTCAGGTCAGTGGATCAACCACAGGCCAGTGACACACAGGACCACTCAGAAGTAAACCACGCTCAGAGCCTTCCTTGCCCTTCAGTCTCTGGTTCTGCATTTGGGGTCTGAGACCACCTGGTGGTTGTCTCTACTTAACAAGTCTTCTCCTTGCTTTTTAAAATTGACCAGGAGCGTGGCACTCCTGAAATGGTTGATTCTTCCTGATGGGTGTATGAAAATTAACTGTATCCTAGCAAAACCAGGACATCTGAGCAGACATCCTGGCAAATCTTTTCCTGTCAGTTTTATCTCTATAGGACAGGATCTAGCAATTAGCTGCCCTAATAAGAGGACAGGGTGGATTGCATTTTGGTAGTCTTAAAGGGTTTTTCTCAAAGTCCCTTTGTGTGGGAAACTGTTTTACATCAGCACAGCAAAATGTGTTACACAGATTCCTGGGTGGTTTTCACTGCAGGGATATCCTGGGTGCTGCAGAGATTCATGTTCTCAGAAAGTAGTGGCTGCTTGGAAGTGTAATGGTGCTACAGGAATCGGTGGTTTTGGTTTTCTTCTGTCCCATCTCCAGGATATGGAAAGTCCTCCAACAAAGCGGCTACGGACAGTGGCCAAATCTTCTATTCTGTCCCACCCAGAAAGCAAAAGTGTTGGTCCAACAAAGAAGAAAGTGACTTTTGATCCAAATTTATCACAGTGTGATAAAGAAGGAACCAGCAAGGCCGTACAGCCAGTGACCAAAGGCATGTCCCTCAAAGAGACAGCAGACATCGTTGTCAAATATTTGACCCCATTCTACAAGGGTGGCAAATTTGCAACCAAGGTAGGGCACAGCTTAAAGACCATCTCTAGCACAAGGAGACTGCATCTCCCTACTGATCTGGGGCTCTAAGAAGGGGAAGATGAGCTGGATACCACATTTCATTTCTAAGTCACATCTTGGTATGTGCTGTTTTAGTGCCTGTTGGTGCAGCAACTCACCTCTCCCAAGAAAGGGTTTGTATGTGATTTAGGGTGGTATCATGTTGGTTCCACACTTGTTTGTGATTGTTAATGTTCTCACACTAACCTCTGACAAGTTTTTAAAAGACTTACACACCTGTGGAGTGGCAGCAGATCAGGTTCAGTTCTGAGGTAGTTTACTCGATGTGTTCTCCAAGGCAGCATGTGTGTGGGTGTGTTTCTCCAGCGCTGCAGGGTCAGGTGTGTTTGCAGTGCTCTTCTGGTCTAAATCTGTGAATGGTTTGTGCTACAGCCTGTGCCCTGTGCTGAGGGCAAGATGAAGGTGGAAGCAGTCTGGTGAGGTAACTGATGTCTGCTTTCTGCTCTTTATCTTCCCCAATTCTGCAGGATCTGTTTAAGGGCTTTGCTCGGCACCTGTCTCACTTACTGGCTGAAGACCAGAACCCTGCCCGCAAGACTGGTGAGCTGGCAGCTGGGGAGAGCACCAAGAATCTCGGGTTGTTTTGGTGCTAAATGGGTTGATGTCTTTAGAGGGGGCTGATGCCTTAAGTGTTATCTCAAAGATGGTGCTTCCTCTCTTGCAGTGAAGGAGGAAGCACAGAGACTCATCAAGGAGTTTTTCAAAACAAGGGTCAGGTGTGAGAGTGAGACAGACTGGGAGGAGCTGCAGAGCTCAGAGAGCTGATCCTTGCATCATGTTGGATGTCTTCCTTCCTCCAGCAGTGGGACCAGGGGATCCTGAAGAACTTGGCCACGGAGGGTTTAATGAAACTGCAGAACTGAGCGTTCTTTTCCCACTGGGTTTTTGCTCACTTCTGTCCTTAGCAAACCAGTTTCTGTGAATTTATGGGGAGTTTCTCCAATAACTGGGGTGCTGAAGCCCTTTAGTACCTTTTGCCAAGAGGTGTGAAGTCTGCGTCCTCCGATGTGTGTAGGTGAGGGGCTGCTGCCTCAGGTGTTCTGCAGTGTCTCCAACCTCTTCTCCCTGCAGCAGTCTGGGAAGGGGTCAGGCTTTCCAAGTGGGACTCTGCTGTAGGGTGGCATCTTGCTTCCTAGATGGCTCCTCCCCTCGCTCCTCCATTTCTTAGTTCTCATTTCAGCGTTACCGATAGAGCCTTACGCTACAAGTTCACGGGCTTTGCTCAGGGCTGCCACTGACCAACTTGATGTCTGAGTTCCTGGATGGAATGTTTTCCCTTGAAGGGCAGGAGGGGAGTGTTTTGTTTTTACCATGCAGGCAATGTCTACTTTCTGAAGGTGGAGAAAATCAGATTCTTTTTCTTTTAATCTGAACTTTTTTTTAACTTTGTCTGGTTCTGCCCTTTAACTGAAGCAGTGATGCTCTTTCAGTATTAACCTCTCCAATAGTGGCACCAAGGTTGCCAACAATTTTCTAGCATTTGCTTGTAACTCCTAAAGCCATATTTGCTCCCTGTGCCTCGCCCACAGTCTGCAATACAGAGGGCAATGCTGCTGTTACAACAGGTTAAAGTACTGCTGCGCCCCTCACATTGACCCTGTGGTGCCTCTGCTGCTATATTTATAGAAGGACCTGAACCCCAGGGTATCAGTGGGCTTGAAAGAACCCGATTCCCTGGCACAAGTCCTTTCTGTTGGGTTGTTGTTGGGTTCTGCCTTTGTTCCATGCCTATAGGGGTTGGTGGCTTCAGGTACTAGTGCTGCTGGAGGAATCTGCAGCCTGAGTGGCCATCAAACAGGCTTTTGGATCACTGTACTCAAAAGATGTATTATTTTTTTTAAATGTACTGAAGGGTATGTGCAGAACTGACAATAAAACAATGTTACAGCTGCTGTGGGCTCTTCCTGGAAGCTTTTTCTTACCACTTAATCATACAGACTGGTCTAAGACACATTAAGACTCCATCAGTGTGAACACAGAGATGAAAGCTCATTTCTTACCTGAACAGAGAAATAATGGAAGCCTTTAGGCTAAAGGGGTGGGAAAGGGATGGGGAGCATGTGCCAGCAGACACCTCCAGCCCTTTATAGCTGCAGGATTTCTGCTAGAACCAGAAGGAGAACCTGGAGATGTTTAACACAAAAGTCACTTCTTTTATCTTCAGGTTGCTCTGCTCACTGGAGGACAAAGGACTTTACAAGAAACCTTTTACACAATAGAAGTATTTTTCAGCTGTTGGCTGCTGGCTTGTATTTTACCTTCCCATCAAAAATCCTCTTGATCAGCCATGTAAGTGAGGTTACTGTCTCTGCAGAGTTCAGTGCTCATAGAGTTCAGCTGCTGCCTGGGTGAACTTCTCAGAACTGCTTTGTTTATCTTGTAAATCAGAATTGCTTTGTTTATCTTGTAAATCAGTGGGCTCCTGGCAGGGCTGGTTCAGGCAGGGGGTTGTGTGACCAAGTGCTTTATCACAAAAGTGAGACATTTCTAACCAGGTGAGTTGTGCTTCTGTGTAAGGCAGCAAAAGCTCAAAGAAGGGGAATAAGGATAAGTTAACCCTCAGCTATCTTTTCTATTCCTTTCTTTCCTGTCACTGTGGTGCTTTACCCAGCCTGGCAGCAGCACTGCTGAAGGGGAGGGTGGAACATTTTTCAGCTAAGACCTCACAGCCCACAGTGAGGAGCACTTGAAGGACAGTTCCTGCCAGGGAGGATGCTGTAGCTACTGCTGGCCTCAGCTCACCAGCAAGAAGCTAGTTGTGTGTCATGGCTTGCATTGAGCACCCTCAGATCTATCCCCTTCCCAGCCAACAGTGATCACCTTTTCCACAAGTTACCTGCAGGTCAATCTTTCCATGTTAGATGTTATGTCATAGCTTCAAAACATCTCTGTGTGATTATTTTATTGCAGTCTCCTGAAGTGCAGATACTTTGGAGTTCAGTAGGATAGCTGGAGCAGTAAAAATAAATTAAGTATTTTTGTACAACTGAGGGCACTCTCCTCTACTGCAATACAAGTTCCATTTGAATACGCTGTCTCCGTGGGCATGGAGCCATCATTCAGCATGGACATGACTGACTTCTTTGTAGTAGAGGGAAACATATGCATATAATTACATCATTAAGAAATTAATGAACAATAAACTTTCTAACCATTGCAGCTCAAATGCCCCAGCATATGTTATATATTAACACTGAGCTGCTTTGCAATTAAGATGCTTTCTACAAGCTCTTGCTTCACAAATCCTGCTATAGGACCTCTTGCATATCTACACAGAGAAAAAGCTGGCCTAAGGAAAGCACCAGCAGCCAGTGCAGTCACTTCATAGCCTCAGCTGTGCGTTCTGATACACAAAGCTCTAGCAAGCAGCAGTCTTTGCTCATGTTAATTAATTTTGAAAAGAAAAGGACAGTCCCACACTGCATAGCTTGAAGGCAATTGCTCACAGCTGTTCAGTTGCTCTGTGTTGGAACAGGCTATGAAAAAGCAATGGTGTGGAGAGGGCATCTTGTGGTTTGTTTAGCCACTGCATGCATCACTTCAAGGAAGAGTACTTGGGAACTGAATGGCAGGTCACCGGGGTGAGATGATGGGCCAGTCCATCAACAAACACTGTGGTGGCAGTCGTGGAAAGCAGCTGTCTGAGGTCATGGAGGTCTTTTGGAAGAGTCCTCTCCAGAAGACAGGGCAGGGAGCACTGAACAAGCTCAAAGAAAGGAAAACAGTGCTGTTCTGCTTGGTCAATCTCCTCCCCTTGGGCTCTAGTGGTGTAACTCTGTTTTATCCAGGATGACAACAATCGTGTGATACATTTCTTTTGCCTGTCAAAATACAAATTGGCATCAGTTATTCTCTGCTCCAGACGTGGCTGCTTCTCATAATTAAATATTCCCATAGATCACTTTCCATAATTAAATATCAGGTATGTGCTGGGACAAAGCTGCACTTTGTGGCTGGGAAATGAAGTGCCTCCATCCCCCTCTGGCACAGAGAGAGCAGCAGTACTGTCTCTTAGCAGAGGGGCAGCTGGGCACTGGAGGGCAGTTTCTGAACTACCAGGGGGAAGGTGTAGGGCCAGGCTGATCTCACCTGTGACAGTTCAAGCCACATAGTCTTGGGGCTGTCAGCAGAGCCATAGTTCAGTTCTATGCCAGGAAGCCCACCCTCAGAGACAGGCCGCAGCGTTCGCATCTTCTGCAGCTCCTTCAATGGAATGACGCAGGAGACCACCTGGGTGAGGAGAAAAGCCACAAAACACTCTCTGGTGGAGTCCTAACAAATAAAACCATCTGATTCTCACCAAGGAGGATTCACCTCAAGAGCCTATGGAAAGCTGAGAGAAGGACTGGGGCACAGGGCAGTGTGTGCAGAATACAGGGCAGGCTCCTGCTGACAGCGTGAGCCTAGAACTCCTGCAAGGTGGGGACAAACAGGAACGTGACCTACACTCAGTTTTACTGTGGACTTGTTAGCATGATCACTGGACTTCCTTACAAAAAGCCCATGGCAGTACTAACTGTTCTACCACTCTCATCACTTGCTTTGGGCTAGGGTTGTTGTTAGAGTGGCTGTGATGCAGGTAAATACAGTCTCTTCCTACACAAATGTTTCTAAAAGCCAAAGTTACTATCTGACAGACATCAGGGCTCTGGACCCCAGGGAGGAATTGCCTGGCATACCTGGGTGGTGCCATCCACCACAATGATCTCTTCTTTATTCACACCAAAGAAACAGGGCACAGGAATTGTGTCATCACTGACTCTCTCCACAAAGTAGGTGTTGTAGCCAAAGAAAGGCAGTTTCAACACATGCTCTGTAAGAAAGCAAAAGGTGGGTTCCAGGCAGTAGCTTCCAGGCAGCAATCTGTTGTACCAACCTAAGGTGGTCAAAAGCTGCAGGTGTTCCCAAGGTTTTCTCCATTAAAAGGTAAGATTGATAACTTCTCCCTCCTCCTTAGGCTGCTGGTACTCAATTCTCAGCAGCCTGAATGGATGTCCCGTTCTTTTCTGACCAGAAAAGAGATGTGCAGCCAGAATATCAATTAAAACACAACTTGTGCAGCACACTGAAAATCTACTGCAGATTTCTACTAAAGAAGTGGAACTTCTACCATGATCACCATGCTTGGGAACAAGGGCAGGGGGAAGTACATTTGGAGTAGTTTCCATCATGCTTAGGATAGAGAAGCAGATCTGGATGTTTCCTCACGCTTGGGAACAAGTGCAGGGGGAGGCTGTCAGGGAGTTCTATGTCACGGCCCATTGCAGGCTCCAAGGATTCTCGCCAACCTATGAACTGTCCCAGAAGTACATTTGGAGTAGTTTCCATCATGCTCAGGATAGAGAAGCAGATCTGGATGTTTCCTCACCTATGAACTGGATTTTTGCATCCACTGGCTGGAGGGGCTGCCTGGTTCTCAGCAGCATGCCAACCTGGTTCTGCAGAGCCTGGGGACTGATGGAGGACTGCAGGGTCTTTGGTGTGTACTCCTTCAGCTCTTCCCTGTGGCAACAAGCAGATGCTAATTCACTCCCTGCCTAGCTAAAATGGAAAGATCAACCAGGGGGGTTAAGAGGAAGGAGGGGATGTGGCAACAATTTTCAATTAAGTGGCTGGGGGCAAGGGTGGAGGGAGAAGTGAAGAGCACAACAGGTCCTATCTGAATTGGATGACATGGAAGGAAAAATCAGATTGAGCAGGACCAGCATTTTCCACATAGAAGGCAGCTGAGCACTACTGAGAGAAATCCCTCCTTTCTGGAGATGACAGGAGCTCTTCAAGCAAGGACTATAGCACGGAAGTAAAGCCACAAGGTGTTTCTTTCCCAGGTGAACACCACCTTACTCTCACCCTGTCTTGCTCCTGTGCGTCCCAAGCACTACACAGAGCAGAGTTCCCCATGCCCAGCAGGGTTATGCTGCTGGTGCTCTGAGGGGATCTGGTGGAGATGTTACCTTGACTCTGAGTCAAAATGCATAAGGATATGAGAAGGGAGTGTGAAAATACAGCGCAGGGCTGCAGGAGAGAAGGTTTCTAGTACCCAGGGACATTTTCATTCCCATTGAGCATCTCACTACAGATTTCAGGTGCCCAGTGTTGAAAACTCTGGCACTTGTGAGAAAGAACAAAGGAACATTCATCCCAACTATAAGCTCATGCACTTCCTTCTTGGTATTACAAACACGTAGCAGTCAAAAAAAATGCCCATGGCACCCTCATGACCCTCAGCTCAGAAGGAGCCACAAAAGCAAATGGAGATCAGAGACAGTCAGCATTAAGGGTGTGAACAGGAGGTTAAACTTTCTGGATTACGGGCAGGAATCAGTCACTGAGTGACAGTAATTAGTAGCTTATGTTCTCCAAAACTGTCCATTCCTTAATTATCCAGAGAATACTTCCAAGGCACCTACCCCTGACCCCTGTGGTGCCAACAGCCATTAGAGATAGAAACCCACTTTGAGACAAACCTACCCGGAGGGAGCAGAGTCCTGCTGCTCTGATTTCGCCCAGTGCTGGAGCATTGCCAAAACACCGACCTGCATCTCCATTTCTTTACTCCGGTTTAACAGGATCCTCCCATTCAGGTAATCCCACAGCACCTGAGGACAGCACAGCAAAGAGGTCTTTGTTAAACCTGCTAGAAGGTACAGGTAGGTCTGGGCAGTGCCAAGCTGCAGAGATCCATAGCCTGCCTTGCTGATAACACACCCAGCTCAGGCTGATAACCTGAAAGCAAAGGCTTTCTGGGCTCAGGAGGAACGTGCACAAACCATGTCTGGAACAGCACAGCTCATAGGCTGGGGCTGCAGGCACACTGCCTTCCTCACAGCCATGGCTTCAGTTATTCCCAGAAACAGCATACAAAGCTGATCAGCCAAAGCCCTCCTGCTTCTCCAGCCCCCTTGGGACCTTCCCACTGGCCTGTACACTAACTCTGCCCCTGCTAGGGAGGTTCCTGGTGCTGCCCTTGTTGCTTACCTGTCCATAATGGACATCAGTATAAATTTTGTTCTCAAAGTGCAGAGGTGTCCTCCAGATGAGCCTGCGTAACGTCACAGTGACCAGCTTGTCTTCCAGCAGATAATCATGAAGATACTCCTCTGATCTTATCGGCCTCACCGTTTTATCTACATGTTTATGCAGAGAAAGGGTCATGACTCTTGGTGCTAAGACAGTGGGCTGAGCTCCATGGCCTGGGACAGGAGCCTTCCTGCACACCTCTGTTCCACCCTGCCCTTACAACTCCAAGCATCAGCCATTCCAGAGGGCCATGGACCCAACACAGACACACACATCTCTTTCAGGAACAAGCAACACAGCCCCTAAGAAGGCACAATCCTTAACCCCAGTACAGAGGGAAACTGCTGAAGAGGAACCTCCCCAGAGACAGGAAGGGTGGGGGAACTATTCAAAACAGTGACCATGTTACTCCCTGTTGGACAAACTGCTTTAAGAAGTTAGGTTCTTGTCTCTACTTGCCAAGATTATCGCTGTCACTCCTGATGGCAAAAAGAACAAATTCCTGTATCTCTTCCTGATCGCCTGCCCCCATCTGCTCACAGATCTCCTGCAAGAGCTCCTTGGCCACCTGAAGCAAGGAAAGAAGTAAATAAATACCATGGCCAGGCAGCCCCAGAGCAGTTAGACATCCTGGGTCTGTTGGAGGGCAGCAGCGTGGCTCTGACCATTGCTGGGTGAGGTATCCCAGCGTGGTGCAGACCCTGCAGAGACAGCGCTGCTACAGGGATTCCTAGGAAGTGAGCGGGGAAACTGTCACAGCACGAGGGGAAGTCCAGGCCAAGCCTGAGGTTTTGACAGATAAGGGAGTTCCCTGGTGGGACTCAGAGTCCAGATCAGTGAAGAAATTCAAAGCAGAAAACTCACTGTGAATGTCTTGATTCTGGTGAGGTATTCCACACCCCCAGGCATCAGCACCACTAGCCGGCGGGCACCACGCCCCTTCTGCAAAGGACAGTCTTTAGGCAGCAAGATGTGCAGGATCCCATCAACCCCACAATTGTTTCTCCCTCTTCCTCCTCATCTCTGCCTTCCACTGCTTGTCCATAGTACCTGCCTCTTCCCTGCCTATATCCCTCCCTACTCTTTGGCATTGCACTTCCCAATGCCCTTACACACACACACACGCTTCATTTCCTCTCCTGGAACACTAATTGCCCTGTGGCACATCCTGGCACACCTCTGCCCTCCCTCTCTTCTCAGCAGCCCCACTTCTTTGCCCCTCAATACCAGCAGTGCCTCTAACTCCACAGGGAATGGAAGGTGGCGACGGCCCCCGTACATGAAATTTTTCCGCAGGTTGCTCTGGCAGGTCTTGGCTATATCTGCAGGAGAAGGAAAAAGCTTCATGTGCTGAGCCAAAGAGAGGACAAAGCATTGTCTCCTGTGGTGCTGGGTGGTGTGGATGTCTCCTGGCTGTGTTGAATTTAACCCAAGGCCACTGCTAGGAGAGCAATGAGACTTGACCTCATCTCCCACTCTACCAGGACACATTCAAATCATGAGGGTCCAGCCTCAGACAGCATCCAGGGTAGTAAAAGTACAGAGGAATGACAAGATGGGAGAACTAGAACCCTTTTCTCTGGCAGGATTCCAACCAAAATACCTCACAACTGATGACTTTGGAAGACCACAGCCTGCCTTTCCCCCAGGGTCTAGCTGTCAAACTGAGCCTAAGCCACAGGGCTAAGCAAAGCCTCAGAGACACAATTCCACCTTGCCTGAGTGAAGGTGCAATGGGAAATAACCTCTGCAAACAGAAAGATCAGAGATCCAAAGCAGACTCTGGCCTGCAGGCTCAGCTCCCTCAGTGCTCCACTCATTTCTTCTGCCTAAGAGGATAAGGGAGATTTTCCCATTGGACCATGTCCCTGCCTGGATCCTGTCTTCTTTCCTTGACCACTGGGCTTTAGTAACAAGGGGGCAGACATTTATTTTACAGGACACAGAAACAGTCATACCATGGTGGGTGCTAGATGTATCACTGCTGGCTAGCTGCAGAAACTTGGTGGCATAGGGCATCAGGATGTTAGAAGGGAGGAAGTACCCAGTTAGCAGGTTTAGGAGTAACCAACCATGCAGCACGCTTTCCCTGTGGAGCAGAAAGAAGTGTGAGCACCTTGGAACTAGACACTTTCTGCTCCAAGCATTCAAAGTGAGCCTCTGCCCTTCTGAACACCTATGGCAGGTGGCAGAAAATGAGGTGGCAGCCCTTAGTCAGAGGTTTCTTATGCTGAGGAAGGGATTGATTCAGTTATTCTACCAGTAAACAAAGAAAGGGAACAGTTAAGGCCCCTCTGATGCCACTGCTGCCATACCACAGGACAATGTGGGGTCAAACCAGTCCCTAAATGTTGCATCAATTCCCCAGGGCTGTGATGAGGAAATCAGGGCTCTGAGCAGCACCACTGCTACCAGGAGCTACCAGGAATGTTTACCACTGCCCAGATATATCAGCAGCCAGAGATACAAGGACAAAAACATACACTGAAGTGAAAAAAGCCAAACTCAGGGACTGGCTAAATTTCCTGAGAGATCAGCAAAAGCCCCAGCATCTGAGCAGCTGGGGACAGTACATCGTTAGCGGGGCAGCCTCTCTCCTGCTGTCTGTGCAGCAAGGCAGATAGTTCCCCTCCAGTTCTTCATGCACAGGAGCTGACAGAGCTGGTACTTACTGGTTAGGGTTGTGGGTGACCTGTTTGATGACCTGGCAGTAGATCTCATCATGCAAACTCTCCTTTTCCTTGCAGAGCTGCATTCAAAGAGGAGAAGACGGTATCAGAGAGGGGATGAGAGCATCAGAGAGGCCCCAGGTTGTCTCTGTGCCCTTCCTGTGCCAGCTCTGGAGTTCTGCCAATTTGTCTTAAATTAAGTTTAGGCTTTGCAGCCTCTGGTCTCTAGTGCCATCTAGGCCCAAAGAAGGAGAGGCAGGTTCTGCTCTCATCCAGTGATGTCCAGAGAAACCATTTATTTGCAACCCCTCCCCTCCATGTTTTTTAACCAGCCTCTCTCTTTCATCTCCCTTTCTCGAGTAGGAGGTTGTGTTATGCCTCTCCCTGCTCCCTCCCTTCCCACCAAAGTCTTGGTCCTTCATTCCCATTGGTGCTTCAGCACCTGGCCCAGGGGAAGGTCACATACCTGAAGGATTTCATAGATGCATTCAACCTGATTCTGGTTCTTGAGTTTTGACTGATCTCCCATGAACCGCATCAGAGCTGCAAAGCAAAGGCAAGCATTCATGTCTAAGCAGAGGTGATCCTGCCGTGGGGAAGGCAGTAGACTGCAAAATGTCCTGAAAGCTTTTCTGCTCCACAGACTATTACGAGGCTTGCATTGGACATGTGTGGTTGGTGGGTCATCAGCCCAGGAAGTGTGTGTTCTTGGACTCCTTGCACTCGAGGCAAAGTGCATTTTGCTGGATGCTTTCAGCATGGACACAGATGGTTAATAACTACAGAAATACCCTCCTCTCACAGTTCTCATTCCCCACTCTGGGGACCACGATGCCTATGTGTGGCCACCAAGTCCATCCCACTCACCCCTGTTCCATCCAGCCTCTGCAGTGTTGTGTCCTAGGGAGGTACTTACTCTTGAAGTTCTTTGTAGCAAGCTCATTCAGCTCACTGTCAGAGTACCGGAGCAAAGACTCCTGGATTGGGACCTGCAGGACCAGAACACAGGGGTAAGCTGGGGAGGCAGATCACACAGAGTTGTGCTGCAGGCTTCAAGAAAGACAGAAGCTCCCAGTATCTTGCAGGCAGCACTGAAGAGCAGGGGGTACCTGGACTTCTCCAGAGGCTGCAGCCAAGGATCTGCCCTCTGCGCTTTTGCCATGTAGGGACAAAGCCAGAGGCAATGCTAGAGCTGTAGCCATGGGAGAGACTGGGCTCACCTTGGTGTGCTGGACCAGGTCAGCTATACTCTTCTTTTCAGCAGACATCCCCTTCAGTCCCTGCCTAGACAGAGGGGAGAGAACGTGCAATCTAAGAAACATCCCCAGAAATGGCTTGGTGTGGGTCAGGCTACACAGGTCCTGCGTATGCCTGTTTAGGAAGGACCACAACCTACTCACATGGACTGAGCGTCTCGGAAGTAGGCTGTGGCAAAGTCCATCATGGTATAACGATCACCAGCAGGTACTAACATGGTGCTGTTGGGTTCTGATGTCAGGCTGGGAACAGAACTCTGCAGGGACAGGCACCAAACCCACCCTGAAAAGTCAGCTGAGGACTGCAGTGTGTATTCACCTCACCTGCCAGACCCAGGAAGGCCTCACCTGTGTATGGTGCCTCCCCCTCCCACTATGATAGTTTTTGAGTGTTTCTGCCTGCAAGGATTAAGCAGTCATCTTCCTCCCTCTAGCCTGGGAGATTAGACACTACCAGGTCAAGAGACGCACCCTGTCAGCTCCCACAGAACCTGGCCATGTCCCCTAGCAGTTCCCCGAGGACAACTCACCTCCCTGCTGGTGTTCCTGCTCTCTGGGGAAAAAATCTCCACGTCTGTCCATGCTGGTGCTGAGGTAATCAGGGGCTGCAGCCAATTGCACCAGGTTGGTGGGGAAAATACCACAGCGGCCACCAGTGGAACCAAACTGCCAACCTGCAGAAACAGGGGAGAAAGAGTTAGGAGCCATGGCAGCTACCAAGAGAAATGAGCAGTGAGGCATCCTACTGGCACAGGAGGGCATTAGACTGAGACTGAGCAGGCTTTCCTGCATCCTAAAATAATATCCCCTATAAATATAGCAGCTGAAACAAGGTGGGTTGCAGTCAGAGAATGGCAGAGCTGAAGGTTGACTATGCCAGCCCTTAGCAGTCTGCTTTCCTCTGGTTTACTCTACAGCAGCATGTAGAGCTTCTGGGCACCATGGGTCCAGCAGGCCCTTGAACCCAGTCTCCACCTTTCCTCCCAGTCTCAATAAACTCCCTCACCTGGCTCCACGCCTTGCATGGGCAGTAACTCGATGAGGTCACCCTTCTTGAAGCTAAGAAGACTCTTGTCATCTGTGATGTAGCTGCGCAGAGCAACAACGTAGTTGGTATCCTGGGGAAAAAGCAATGGGAAGGTCAGATCTCGTCCCCAGGATGTGAGGGATTCAGGCCGTGTCATCCCATGGACCCTCTCAGGTCCATGTGGGAAACTACCTTAATTCCCTACTGCACTACAGCCACTCCCTCACCTGCCTCAGCTCCTGGATGAAGAGTTCCACCATGGCCTTGATCCACGGAGCCTTTGGGGAGTGCAGGAAGAGCTGCTCTGTCTTCAGAGAGAACTCCAGGGCATTGCTGCCCTTCAGTTCCACTGACAGCACATCTGCAAAGCTGAGAACACAGCCAGCATAGCATGATCAGGCTCCTTCTGCCAGAGCTAGGGATGCAGATCGTGGGGATGGGAGCTCTTTCCAAGGACAAGTCTCAGCACACTCCAGAGGGTGGTCTTTCACCAGCACTGTATGACAATAGTCATAGCACCACAGGCTGCTCATGGCTTTCACCATACCACTCTGAGGACCTCCCAGCCATGCATGGAGCTGACTCCCACCTAGCACTCACTTATTGTGAGCAAAGCACAAGGTAGGAAGGAAAGGGAAAGGCCAAACTCATTAGAAGGAGGGTCAGTGAGTCACAACTGGCCTAGGACAATCCTAGAGAGCACAGCACAGCCAGACAATTTTCAGCTCACCTGTTCAGTCTGCCTCCTACACTCTGAAGGCATCCTGAGAGTGACAAATTCTCATCCTGCAGCACCCAGTGCCTTTGCACTCACCTGTAGCTGCGAAGAATCTTCAGGTGCTCAGGATTATATCCTGCTGCTTTCACCACCTTCAGCAGCCGCATGCCCCGGTGAGAAACACCCAGGATCTGGACATCACTTCCATTTTCACCCTGTAAGGGAAGTGCAGCAGAGAGCATCAAAGGCTCCATCCCACCTGGACAGAATGCAGCAGGGGAAGAAGATGCTACCACATGTGCCACGAAGGAGGGCCTGAGCTGACAGAGGTGTCAAACCCAGCAACATTTTCACAGAAGCTTAGAAAATGGAGAGAGAAAGTAAAGGAAGACAGAGAAGCAGGACTGTGAGGGTGCAGAGAGGCAAATGGGAGAACTATGGATACAAGGACTCAAGCAGGCAGCCTGCGCAAACAGGGAAATTATTAGGGCATCAGAGAGGTGCAAATGTGCAAGTAAAGAGAAAGGTACAGAAGGCACAGGAGAATGAGTGACATGTGGCCAGTCAGGGAGAAATGGACAGAAGAGAAAGAGATCCCAGGTGAAATAGAGCTGCACAGCTAAAGCGAACCCAGGGTCAGGTGAGAAGATTAAGACTCACATGAACTGGGAAAAGGCGGGAGAAATAGTTAGCCCAGTTATCCCGAGCAGCCAGTACAATCCTCTTCTTTATCCCATCCTCCTGAATGGACTGGACATCATTGCCAACTTGGAACTCCACTAGCAGGGATACAAACCAGGTACTTTATCAGTAAGACAAAGATGGCCAAGTTTCCCTCTGCTCAGGGACTCATTCCCACCAAACCCCCTCAGTGATTATAACACAACAGATGACAAGCAGAGGTGAAAGGATAACACATTACTTGCACACACCAGTCTACTGCTAGTTTCTCTCCCCCTCACCATGAAGCTCCTGTCAAAGAAGACAGTTGGATTTTGAGTTGTCTCCATCAGTTTGATGCCATCCATGGGCATCACTTTCCTCTCCTCACAATAAACATGTCAGAACTAAGATTTTCTGGCTCAGAGAAATTTCAGGGCCATTTTCTGTCCATTTGGAATAAACAAGCATTCCTACAGTGCACTGCACAGCACACACAAATGTGCTTTCTTCCTGCAATTACAAACATTTCTCTTCTGCCCTCAGTCCTTCCTGAAAGGGCTTAGAGGCCAGTTTCTCATTTCAAACCAAAAGCTGGGATGGGCACAGGGAGGAAGGGATGATGGGGCTGTTAATTACTCAGCAAGTCTTTCATCTTGCGCCTCTCCTCCCTGGAGATCCGAAGGCAGGAATCAGAGAAGGTGTCACGCATGATCTGCAGAGGAAGGAAACAGAGAGGTTTCCATTGAAGAGGCCACATCTGAGTGTGTTGGAGCATCTGAGGCTGTTAAACAGACTGAGTTTCAGAGAGGGGTGAGCAGGAGCTTGACTGGATGGACCTGGAGAAGAGACTAACACCACTAGGGATGCAGAAGTGAAGGCAATTTATGCAGTGTAATTATGGAGTGTTTTGTCACCAGACAGACACAACAGGCCTTGAGTCATACACCAGCACATACCTGTTCACACAGCAAGTTCAGACAATAAGGGTGACTGAAATTTTCTTTGGGGTAGAACACCTGCAAGAGGAGGATAAAAACAATAGTAATGTTACAGAAGTTTACAGATGTCACAGAAATAGCTTCCCAGGGATGTTTTGTAATCCACATGCCCTACTGCCAGAGATGAACGAGTCCATCTCCAAGGACAGGCAGGGAAGACACACTGTGAGTGTAAACAGAAGGACCAGGAGCAAAAGACCAAAAGTAAAGCAATGAGACCACGGGATGAACCCTGGTCTGTTCAGTGCACTCACACATACTTGTTTTTAAACACACTTGTACTATTTTAACAGGGAAGCACCAGATAACAACAAATTTACTGTAGATTTATTTGTAGATTTCTCAGTGCTTTACAGAGGAAGGAAAGGACTCTGAGACACCAGAGTCAGTAAGGCAGAGTAGGACCCAGATCCCCTATGAGATAATCCACTGCCTCCAACTCCTGTCTCGTGTGACCTTCTCCCAGAACTGTCTTTGTGCTCTTATATAGCACTGGGGGCATATGACAAAAAAGTTATTTTAACCAAATATGGGACCAGTTTCCTCTCCCACAGGCAGCCCTCAGGTGATGAACTGTACCTCTTTGCGCAAAAAGATTTTCCAGGCAGGGCTGACATAGGAAAAGCTGACGCTGGCAGTGAGCTTATACAGCTGGGTCTTGATACCATCATCTTCTACTGTTACAGCAGAGTCTGTATGAGGATAAAAAGCAGTGAAGGTGGGCTTTGCTGACTACAGGGTCACCTTCCCACCTGCCAAAGAGCTACCAAGAGAAAGGGGACAGTGCCATGTACCTGACTGAAGATTCTGTTAGGAACCCCCTTGAAGGTCAGTGATCAGCTAATGTGAACACGTGCACAAAACAGTCATCAAGGGCAGTTAATGACAAAACAAGGGGAAATGGGCTTAAACTGAAAGAGGGAAGGTTTAGATGAGATATTAGGAAGAAGTTCTTCACTGTGAGGGTGGTCACACACTGGAACAGGTTGCCCAAGGAAGTTGTAGATGCCCCCTCCCTGGAAGTGTTCAAGGCCAGGTTGGATGAGGCTTTGAGCAACCTGGTCTAGTGGAAGGTGTCCCTGCTGCTGGCAGGGGGGGTGAGACTGAATGATCTTTAAGGTCCCTTCCAATCCAAACCATTCTATGATTCTATGTGAGCACCAGCAATTCTGATAGCATTTCTACTTGCTGTATTAGCCACAAAATTCAGTGCTCATAATAGAGAGCACACAGTGTCCCAGGCAAAATACTAACCCTGTGCTTAAGCTTGAAGACACAGTTTAACTTTATGTCTTTATAAAAAGTCGGCTAAAGGTTTCTAAAGGACATAAAAGTTCTGCCCTTAGCTTGCAAATGGCGAGGTTCTCGTACAAGGCACCCAGCACTTGCACTGGATTTTCTCTCTGCAGAAGATCTGTTAAAGACAGGCTCAGTCTGAAGACTACCATTCAAAGGCATTGGTTTACAAGGTAGGAATATCTTAATTTAAGCACTCTCAACTTTCCAGACTTCAGAGTTCCTAGACATGCAAGAAATGTAGTAGAGCCCACAGTTCAGCTGTTTCTATATTCCTATTAAAAAGCACATAGGGCTTTTTCAGGCTAATCCAGCTATTTGGATTTACTTTCACAGGACTTCCTGAAGATCCATTTTTAAAAAGAGAAGGAGAGTGGAACAGGGACATTCTTTTATACCAGGGAAGCTGATGCAGGATGGAGTCCTGCTGTAATGTGCTTGACTGACTGTTCCTTGTGTGTTATGAAACGTGATGCTGATGAGAGTTTTAAACAGCTTGAAATACATTGGTACATGTATCCAAAATAGCAGCAAAGTATAACATGAATTATGGCTCCAGCCTCCCACTGCAATTCAGAGACAAAACCTAGGACTGAGTAACATTCCCAAACTCCTGCTGAGAAGCATTAATGATGCTATTTTTCAGGTGGGCATGCTGAAAAGTGACCAGACACTCCTTATGTGGCCAATGTCCAAGGTCTCCCAGGCTCTCATTCTCCCTCTGAGGAACATTCCCTCATTCCTCAGCCTGTCTCTAAGGACCCTCCAAAGACTCTAGAAGGTAAAACTTGGCTTCCCATTCCTCCTTGGTCTAAAGTCCATCCGTTAAATTGCAGCTTTGATAAAGTAATTATGCTTCAGGTAGGTAATAAAACATATTGTGGACTGGACCTTGATAAAGCTGTAGCCCAAAGGTCCTTTCTGGTTTTAGCTGCATTTTTCAGAGAAACCCAGCCCCTGGTTCAGCATTTGTGCCTGACATCTGCACCACACTGGGAAGAAAGGGAAGAGTTAGAGCTGGGAAGTGCTATGCTGAGTGCTGGGCCAGATTAGAACTATGGTAACAGTCTCTGATTTCACACAGCCCACGCAGTCTTTGGCCAGCTGGCTGAAGACAGAACACGTGCTGTGACTCTCCCAGGCTGCTGGGCTGATTCTGACCCCATCCCCTCCCTGCCCTCTCCTACCAAATCCCACTTGGGTGAGGTCAATACTTACCCTTCCTTGTGTATTCCTGCCAGTCTTCCTTCCCAGGCAGGAGAGGTGAAGGCAATGGTGGGGGAGAAGGGGGAGCAGTAGGGGCCTGGGAACCTGGTGGGGTACTCTCCCGTCTGAAGATGGACAGGAGAGGCAACTGCTTCTCCTTGATAGAGCTAGAAGCGGAGCCTGGCTTGGGCTTGGGAGGTGGAGGTGTTCTCTTCTCTTGGGAGGATGACAGGGAGGATGGCTGCAAGACAGCAAAACAATTTGACCCAGCCATTCTCTGCATTATTGTGCTCTGTCCTGACACTGCTGTTATCAGTGATTCCTAGGGCAGCATTCCAGCCCTAGAAGCAAGATCTGTGTCAACAGGGACACCAGGACCTTTAAATCAGCACATGCTCTACAAACAGATGAAGATCAAGCAAACCCAGATGCAGAGAACCAAGTATTTGAGATTGAAGCCTGCAGTTGGGAAAGGGAAAATAAGACATTAACGGGCCTTTGATGAAGGCTTTGATGCCCCCAATGAGACTTTGATGCCAAATGTGGGGAGCATAACTTGCTTGCCTCCAGATCAGGCTTAAACATACTACAATAGGACTTGCTGCTCCAGAGGCTCTTCTCCAGGACCACTGGTGACTTTACAGACTGGAACCCAGTCTAAGATGGGCAGCATCATGGTATGAGCTCACAGCTATCTAGTAACCCAACAAGAAATCATCTGGTGGCTACTGCACTACCAAGTAGCTTCCAGCCTGTTGGAGGCTGGATATACAGGCCCTCTCTGCTGAGCTGTTAAGTGACCAGAGAGCAAAGAACTCACTGCTTTGGGAGATGGGAGGTTCATCATTCCCAGCTTGGCCAGAGCTTCATTTTTAGGGTCATTCCTCTTTATAAATGGCTTGGACACTCTCCTGCAAGGAAATGGAGAACACAGTTACAGAGGGGTTGTGGCCACAATGGAGCCATGTGGCAGTACTGGGATATAGTCCCACTCCTCTCCTTCCTGCCCACCTGGGTGGATCCCACTCTCTCACCTGACAGGCTCAATAGGCTGGGGCTCGGGGGCTGGCCTGCTCTGGTACATTTTGATGATGTTGCGGATCTCCCGGCTGGGCTCAGGCCGCGACTCAGGGCCCAAAGGCTTCACTACAGGTGGCTCCTTCTTCGCTTTTGGTGTCTGCTTCTTTGGCTTTGTCTCAGGAGGTGGCAAAGGGGAAGCAGGAGCTATTGGGGATGACAGCTTTAACCAACAGACCAGCAAAGACACAGGAGAAATCCCTTTATCTCATTTGAAAGCTCCCTTTTTCATCACTAGACTGACTGGCCATGGCCATCCACTGCCTTGCTTTGGGATCTCACTTCCCAAAGCTCAGGCCTTTCTCTCTCCCCTCTGCTGTCAAGTTGCAAACTCCCAGAAGAGCCAGATCCTTTCCTCCTCTGTCCCAATGCTCCTGGAAAGTTCCTGCTCATCAGCCTGCCTGGGTCTCCACTGCACGTCATCTTACCTGCCTCTGTTTTAGGGCTGGGCTTCTCTTCTTTCCTCTTCTCCCTCTCCTCTTCTTTCCTCTTCTCCCTCTCCTCTTTCCTCTTCTCCCTCTCTTCTTCTTTCTCCTCCTCCTTCTTTGGCTGGGGATTTGCTGGAGGGGTCCAGGTTTTGGAAGGAGGCCTGACTTTCTTCACTCGGATGTGTTGCTCTCCTACATAGAAATGAGGGACCTGAGCTAGTTAAACTCACAGCCACAACCTAGCACTAATGGCATGGTTCCCACCCTTGCATCAGTCAGCAGAAGCCTGTGCTTTCTAAGAAGTAAAGGAGAGTGTGGCAGTCACAAATCCAAAGATTTCTAGAAAAATGGCAACACAGCAGCTCACAATCTGAATTGTAGCCAGCTGAGCAGGCACCCAAAACTCCTGCTACACACAGCACCAGCAGCTCCTGCAGGGATTAGCTGCGTTCCAGACAGGGAGGCTGCAGAAACAGTTGTTACAATTAGTGAAATTCCCAAAGTGGTAGATGCTTACCCATCTTCTGAAAATATTCTCTCTTCTGCTGGAAAGTTTCCCGAGGATAGTCATCATTGTCACTGTTGGAGAACTGGTCTTCCCTGTAGTCATAAACCTGCAAGCAGTTCACAACATGGTTAGTTGGCACTAGCTAGCAGATACCATAGTGCCCTTAAGCTCAGAGGTGATCTTCCCTTGTGAAGTTTTGATCTAGAGCTTGTCCCCATCTGGGAGCATCCCAAGAGATCAGTCTCTGACCCAAGGAATCATGAAGCAATTCTAGAGAAGGAGGAGAATATGTTAAAGGTCCAAGACAGCTTGATAGAAGATAAAGAATTCAGAGTGCTTAATTTTCCTAAGTTCAGATCAGCTAAGAATTAATTGGCCAACACTGCAGCCAAACCTCCACAGAGCTAATGCCACCAAGGTTTGATCCTGTGTCTTAGAGACTCAGCAAGCAGAGTTTGAAAGACCTCAGTGTCATAGGTAAGCATAGCTCTCTGGTCTTCTCTCTGCCAAACCACTGCCACATTGGAAAGGACACAAATCATGAAATTCAAACCAAATTCACCACCACTGTTTGTTTCTCATACCGGTTCTTCTGCCTTAGCTGGTGGTTCTGGAGCCTTTACTGGTGGTGCAGCATTCGGTCTGCTGGGAGGCTTCTTGGGTTTTGGGGAAATGGCTGGGACTGGGACAGGGGCTGGAGCTGGGTCTCGGGCCTGGGGTGGACTTGAGACTCTTGGCTTTGAGTTCTGAAGAGACTGTTGCCACCGCTGCTGTTGCTGCTGCTGCTGTTGCTGGGAAATGGTCATGGCTTGAAGGGTCATCTGCTGGGCCTGGAGGAAGGAATTGCAATATCCACGAGCTCTAGGTTACACAAACCCACCAGCCATCAGGCAGGCTGTCCCATTCTTTCACTGGTAATCACAGAACTTCTACATAATTCACTGCAAATTTCCAGGTGTTATGGACAAGGCATGCCCAGGGAGTCTGCTCCCACCTGGCCAAGTATGCAGAGCTCCTAACAACACCCCAAAGACTCAGCTACCAGTGAGATAGCCTAGGACCTCCATGCACTCACAAGGCTTTGTACAGAAAGCAGAATACTGCAGATCTGCCTCTGTAGCAAATCCCAGCTTAAAAACACAAGGGAATCGCAGCTGAGGCTTCTTGGGCTGCTCTTGTCCCTGCTACTCACCTATGGTGTCTCAGTGTCCCCATGTACACAAACTGGGCAAAAAGGGGGTTCCCAGTTTTGCAGTCTTCAATAATCCCAACTTTATATAGCTAACCCCCAGCACATAAGCACAGAGTGTTACAGAGCAGGCCTAAGGCAGGAGGGGAGCATGGCTAACATCTTCACAGCACATACACCAGTGCATTCCTCTTCCCCATTTCCTGGGTCCCTCCCAGCCAGTCCTTTCCACTCACCATCAGCATGGCTTGCTGGTTGATAAAAGCTTGCTGTTGTGCTGCTAACTGATTGGGGTCTACAGCTGGAACCACAGCCTGGGGCATAACCATGCCTGCAGGAGACAAACAGGTCTGTAAACACCCACACACAATGGTTCCTCGAAGTGTGTAAGCATCAGCCTGGAGCTGAGCGTTCACTGTGCAACCAGCCTGGCATTCAAATACACAGGCTCCCTTAGGACACCCACCCTTCCATCCTCTTCCTCTCCATAGTCACTGTGTTATTACCTGGCATAGGTGCAATCCCACCAGCTGCTGACATCCCCATCATGGGCTGGTAAAGTGGTGCTTGAGTCATTCCAGAGAAGCCTAGAAGCAAAAGGACACGTGCACAGTGCTTTTAGGGAATCACAGATCAGAAAGCCCTGGATCAATCCCACAGAACACATCACACAGGCTGAGTACCTCTGGTTCTCTCTGCATGCCCCAACCATAGGGATGTGTGAATAGTTTATCTCCTCACACACAGTAGGACACAGCAAAACTCAGGTGGAAAAATGAAATCTAAGAGAAATGTGTGGCCTGACAGAATTTACAATGAGACACCACCATCCATCATGACTCAGCATATGGAGCCAGGCTCTTCTCAGTGATGCCCAACGGTAGGACAAGGGGCAATGGGACTGAGCTGGAACACAGGAGGTTCTGCTTAAATTTCAGAAGAAACTTCTTTACAGTGAGGGTGACAGAGCCCTGGGACAGGCTGCCCAGGGAGGCTGTGGAGTCTCCTTCTCTGGAGACATTCAAAACCCACCTGGACACCTTCCTGTGTGATCTCATTTAGGTTCCTGCTTCGGCAGGGGGATTGGACTGGATGATCTTTTGAGGTCCCTTCCAATCCCTGACATTCTGTGATTCTGTGATATAAATAACTCCTGCCTATGTATGACTACAGAGAAGGGTTTCTCTTGAAGGTTGGGCAAAGATCTCCAGGACTGCCAGATCCATATTGGTCTCTTTGCAGCAGGTAGCAAGGGTGAATGAACAACAAGCCCTGGCCTGGGTGGCTGTGTGTATCATGTGAAGGAACTGTGGGGAGAAAGGAATTCCCGGCTCCCAGCAGTCAAGTTCCACATAAGGCCACAAAACAGAAATCCCACTAAGGGCAAAGCCAGCAGAGCAAGAGGCATGGAGATCAGTCTCAGCCAGGAGTGAGTCAGCACACAGCACAGCTCTACTGAATCATGGTGCCAGTGAGAAAGGCCCAGGGATGCAGATTTCTCAGTGCCATTAATGTATTGGTGTTTGACTCCACCCTACTGAAAATACTGAGTCTTAGCTCCACGGAAATGAGGAAAACAAACCAAACACACAAACCAGAACCTCTACAGGGTTCAGACTTACTAACCCAAGGAATAGCTAGAGATGATGGGAAAGTCTGTAAAGAAGGAATAAGAAAGATTAAAACCTTCCCCTGAGAGGGGGAGCGAGGAATGGAACTTCTGATGACCTGTGCTAAAGACCAATACTCTTCACTAATCAGCTGAGCCCATGCAATAATTAGCACTGAAGGGACTCCCTGACTTGTGTTCAGCGGAGCTTATGTAGCTCCACTGGTGTTCACAACTGTCCCCATCCCCTTACAGACCTGTAGAAGGAAAGATTCCTCTCTGTGTGGGTCCAATCTTCCCACCTCCTTTCATGCGTCCAGACAGACTTTCCCTGTTCTCCATATCCTGCATCAAGAAAAAAACCAGAGTTATCTGAGCTCAGAGAGCTAGACTTCACAGGGGGAGAGCCATCAAAAGGTGTATCTGAGCTGAGCAGAGGCAGAGTGAATACGCAGAGGGATGCTTGAGGGAATTACAGGGACAGGAGGGCTGCAGAGACAAAGTAAGAGGGAACACCAAGGGACTTACTGGTACTCTGGAGCCTTGATGTAGCACAGTGCTGAAGAGATCATCCACATAGTGATCCAAGCCTACAGGGGTCCTCAGGTCATCTCTGAACCTTGAATCTATGAGCAGAGAGAAGTCTGGTGACAAGGCAGGTAAGGAACATTCCCCTGGCTCCAGCCCCTACTGGACAGTCATGTTTTGGAGTGGAGCCCTTCCTTGCTCTACATCAAGAAGAATCACTCATCTTCTCCTCTGCTCTCATTTCCTGGCTGGGGCCCGTCCAGCCCTTCCCAATGCCATTCACAGTCCTGGGCAAGAGCTTACCTGGGTGGAGACTGCTGAATTCTGGAGGCAGGCTAGGTGGTGGGAAGGTAGGGGCCTGGATGCCTGGAGCAGGAGGGATCCTGTTGAAGAGGAAGATAAGATGAGGACAGCACAGAGTGCTGAGAGAAAGACAAGCCACTGGGTGACAGGGCCATTAAGTGGTGAGGCAGGAGGATGAGGTGACTCACGAATCCAGGTCAGAGTACTGGAGGAAGCTTCTGTCCCCTTCAGGAGTGATGGGGTACCCAGCTGGGGACTGAGAGGGGCTGCTGAGGTTGCTAGCCTCCTCCATCTCTCCAATGAGGTCCAGCACAAAGTCACAGCCCAGCAGGTCCTGCCATGTGTTGCCAGTAAACATGGAGACAGACCATCCTCGAGGCTTCTTATCACAGCCCCTGTGATAAGGGAAAGGAAGGAGAGAAAAGATGTCGGGGTAGGCAAGGGAAAGGGATCTTTTTTCCATCTTTTCTCTGAAGCTGCTCTGACAGATCACAGCAGTGACTCCTCTATTCCTAAAGAGGCCCACAGTTTATGAACACAGATGGAATCGTGGAACTGTAGAATCATAGAATGGTTTGGGTTGGAAGGGACCTTAAAGATCATCCAGTTCCAACCCCTCTGCCATGGGCAGGGACACCTTCCACTAGACCAGGTGTGTGAAGGGCAGAACACAAGCCGGAATGAATAAGGAGAGGCTATTCCACATCTGACCATATAAATTCTGACCAGTCTGAACCTTAGAACTAGTGCCAGCCTCTTTCACATCCCCAGATCTTCTCCCATCCTCTGCCAGTACCTTGTACTCAGGAGCCAGCCTGCGTACTGCTCCCCAGTCATCCAGGACTCCACCTCAGCTGAGAACTTTTCCTCTAGCACAGAAAAGAAAGTCAGTACATACAGCCCCCCGGCAGGACCCAAAGCAACATCTAAGCTCCACAGGGGACAAGCAGAGCCCAGCTGGAAAGTCTCACACACTCCTGAGTGGGGAGGAGAGGAGGACTGAAAGCAGATGTAGGGCTCCACATGAACATTTTCACATCCAAGATAGCTGTTTGAAGGCACAGGTTGCCATTTCCAGCCTGACAGCTGAAAACCCTCAGTGTCCTGGTTTGCTTGGGTCGCCACTCCATTCTCCAAGGAGCCAGAGCAGGGATGCTCTACATCCAATTTACAGAGCTTCTGAACACCCAAGAGGCAGCATAAGCCCATATTTGAGAAGGAAGAAAGGCAGGAATTCCCTGTAACAAAGGCTGCATGGCCATGCAGCCGTGGATAACTGGAAAATTAGACCCACAGAGATGTACAACCAGAACAGCCCTGTGTTGAGATGGTCCCAAACCCAGGAGAATCTCATCCCTCAGCCTGAGTAGCAGTTCTCATCAGGCCCAAACTTTGCAAGTTTTGGGTCTAAATTCAGATGCTTGTATCCCCCATGGTTGTACCAGCCAGAAGCAATCAGTGTTCTGATCCCTCTTTACTAAACAGAGGGAAGTATTTTCTGAATGCTGATTTCTGCACTGGAAAAGTCCTTAGGGACTAGAAGATAGCAGAAGGGCAGAAGCATGGATTACCACTAAAGGTATGAATATCCAGCACCATCTTCCCTCTTCTCTGGTTTGCAGTCCACTCCAGCTGAGTGGGAGGGTAGGCCCGAGAGAATGTGGAGTCTATCTCTGTGTGCTGTGCTGCTGTCAAGATCTTGCGCTGGCAAACAGCATTGTAGCCCTCCATGCCGTGATCCGACACAAATCTAGGAAAAGGCACCTGCTTTTAGCATGCTGCTCATCTCTCTCAACCTTAATGAAAGTGTAGCTAGATCTTTTCTCCTCCTTACTTCAGCAATGGCTTCTCCAGTGCTGGTGAAGGGGCAAAGCAGCTCAACAAAGTAGCCATCAGGACCCAAGCTCGTTGGCTGTGCTCCATGTCTGGGTTTTTCCATGTCTGGGCAACCACCTGACTGAAGATTTCATTGCGCAGAGCCACGTTATTCAAACCTCTCCCAGCGATGTAGTTGCCCAGAAGTATCTCCTGCCAGCCATGGAGATTCTGGTCACCAATGAACCGCAAAATCTAGAAGCATCCAGGAGAAAAAAAAGAGAGAGCTCTAGCTGTAACCCTCTGTCCCAAACTGTGTTGTAAGGTGACAACTCGAGTTGTAGATACCAGAGTGTTTGTGAGCCTAAGAGTAGCCAACACTGAGATGGGGATCTATTCTCAGGTTTTGTGCACCACTTAAGTTCTGGGGAATCTGGGAGGCAGTGTGCACAAAGACTGGACCCTGACTAAAAGTCAGGATGATTTCAGTCTCTTCTTAGTTGTATCTCTGACTCAGAATGTTTTTCTTGGGAAAAAAACTTCCCCTTCTTTGGGCAGAGCTCGAATAAGTTAACAAACAAGTTACCACAGGCTTCTTGTTACTGTGTCCGAGCCCACAGGCTGCCTAGCTATCAAATATGTAAAAGAAATTGATGCTTAGCTGATCTTTGTGAAAAGCTCAGAGTGCCAGGCATGAGGGAACACTAACAACTGAATGTTAAAAAGACTTTGGTGTAGTTAATATTATACCGAGTAGTATGAGATGTGCTATCTCAACAAGCTCACTTCAGCAGTGATCCAGCTCCTTGGCTATGCATTTCAACATCTTAGATGCTTTTGTAATTTGAATTTCTCATCCTTCAGTCCAGAATTATTTCTTTCTGTCTCTACACTTCAATATGTTATTAGATGAAAATTTTTCCAAAAAATATATAGCAGTCAGCTTTAGAAAGAACATTTATGAGTGATGGCCTATTTTTTCTCAGAGAACAACAATTTCAAAATTGTTAATGGTAGTAAGTGTGTTAGAGGTTCACTGAGAAAAACAGAAGATGGTGGTTATTTAGTTCTCATGGAATTTTTTGTAGTAAATCCCTATATATTGCAGCCTTTGCCAAAAAAATAGCTTTTTTTTTTTTTTAATTAGCAATGGAGAAAAAATATCTTTGATTTTCAGGAAAAATAATAGTAGTGTGCTTAAAAACAATCCTATTCACAAGATTTTATTGAAGCTTATGCTCTTCTATAATTGGGATTATTACAACAAAATAAGAGACTGGTTTTAGGTATTACCTTTCCTAATAGGGTTATTTTAATTACATGTAATTCTCAAAAGGATTGCCAGATTTACTTAGAAATTATCTGAAGTTTCATTCTATTTTTAGAGAGTCAACATTACCGTTCTTAAGAAAAAATGTATCCTTCACATCCACAGAGATGAAATAACACCATCTCCCTTATGCAAACACTACAGAATTGGGGTGTGGTTGCAGGTGTAGTTTTCTGGATGACAAAGTCCCTGCCTTTTTCCAGCCTTTTTACAACAGTTCACTGTCCCCTGTTGTGTTCTGACTCAACTGTATGACTGAGATACAATCAATGTATTTACTACAAACCACATCATGGAAAAGATCTTGGCTAAATTAAACTTTTTTTATGACTGACAGATAAGAAAAAGTGCTTGAGAAGACAGATCTCCCTTATACTGTCATTGCTACTGAATCTGGAACATTGGGAAACTAAGGGATAGGGACTAATTCCTCTGTGTCCTGTCAAATTCTGAGGCTATAATGCTAGGCAATTCACTTTGATCCTATTGATCAATGGATGGTCTATGCCTCACCAAGAACACAGCAACCCTAAGGGGCTGCATGTGACCTCTGCCAGACTGCTGCAGTGCCTAGAATGAGCAATTTATTCTGCTCTCCTAAGACACCATCTATTATAAGAACAATAGCCATCAGAAGCATCTTGTTGTAGAAAGGCATCAAAACATTGCCTTATGCCCACCTTTCTTCAACAAAGCCCTGGTCAAGAAAGACATATCTTACCAGTTTGTTGATCTCAAGGGCACTCTCCTGGTTTTCAGCATCCAGACGGGTTAAGGGTTGCTGCAGAGGCTGACCAGGGGCAGGGAAATCTGTCTTCTACAAAGAAACCCAAAGAACAGAAATATAGAGTTGATTCCTGGTGTTACTAGAACTAGTGTGTCTCCTCAGTGGGGAAGCAATGAAGAGATGTAAAAAGAGTTCCCACCTGGAAGTTTGACTTAATGAAGGAGGAGAAAGGATAGCTGTTGATGGTGGGTGGGAGGGAAAGATCATCTTTGACCTTGACTTCTGGAGGCAATGCCTCAGTTATCTGGTGGGCCTGTGCTCTGTGCTGACCTGCAAGAGAAAGAGGTCTTGTGTTGTAGCAGTTGGAGAGGCAGCCAGAGGAAATTATTTTAGTTAGTGGTATGGTGGTGGTTTGAAAACAAAACAAAACACTTTCTATCCCAAGCAAAATATTTCCTTAAGTTGTTACATTGTTTCTACCTACTTCTATTTTAAAAGAAGCAATTACTTTTGAAGAAGTAATTTTTAATGAAAACCCAAAAATATTTAATTGAAAGTGCCAAAATTGTAGTTTTGACTTGTTCATCTTCAATTTCCTTAAAGATTTTTGAGTAGGAAGAAAGACAGGCTTAATTTCTCACAGCCCAGATATCCAGCTCTGCAAAAGACCTGGGTCCCTTAAACAGTTTGGTAGTACACAGCTTTGACCAAAAAGTTTTGCACCATCACTATCATCAGTTCTATCAGCACAGTTCAAAAGAAGAGCTGAAAAGGTAATAAAGATACTGAATTTGAATCTGGTGTTCTGCCCGCTGGCCCAAGTTGCTTTTCCACCCTATCGTGTTAGGAAACAATATACATGACACCATTTGCCTTTATTATATTTACACTGGGATGATAATAAATCAAATACTACCCAGGTGACAGACAGCGGGTAGAACAATGTGGTGGTTTGGACAAGGACAAACAAGCATGTACTTAAACTGCTAGAAAACAACAAAATTAACAGTAAAGCAACGCAGCACAGGAAAGGGAGGGAAGGAGGGGGGATTTCTCACGTTCAGCTAACTGCAGGAGGGCAGCAAGCTCTGCAGGGATCTCTAGCAGTCCCACATCCTGTGGAGAGAGTAAGGAAGTCAGTCACTGGGGTACCAGCAGTGAAACAACATATAAACCCTGAGCTGTTCTGTTGAGCCTGGGTAAAGCTGCCTTTGAAAAGCTGGCCAGGACAAGGACTGAGCATCTCAGCAACACCAGGCATTTCTGCCTGTGCACCATGCAGAAACATTCCAAATAGGGAAGTGTCATATTAACACAGGTGTGTGACATGGGTCAGCAAAGGAGGAAAAGGGGAGTAATTTCTTTAAAAAATGACTGCCACATGGGGAAGTGATGGTAAAGTTGACTTTCTTTGCCTCATCTCTCATTACTAACAAGCCTGGCACATTGCACAGAAGAGATTGCAGTGGGAAGGGCCGTTTCCTCCTGCTCCTTTTTGTGCCATTTTTATTTTTCAGTGTCTAAGAGTGCTACAGCATAAATAAAAGGAGACCCGCTTCTGATCTTTGATACATGCCACTGTTTTGGATCTCAGATCTGTACCAGGGTATTTCAGATGAGAATCTGACCAATGAGCCTTGGTTTTTTACTGGTTTGCACCTTGCATGATGCGTGCATTTGTGCCAGGTAGGAAGTAAATGGGCCAATGCCACATAGTGTATCAGCACCAATGTCTGCATATAACATCAGTTCAGGGCATTTCAGACAGGACTACTCAGACTAAGATTCTATGAAACCAAGCCAAAAACACAAAGCCTGAGCTTTTGGGGTTTGTTTTTTTGATTCTTTTTTTTTTTTTAAGATCTTAAGTAAAGCCTCTACTCACCAGCACACTATTCTGACATCTCTCTCCACATAAACTCTCAGCAATGCTTAAAGATAGATTCACAGCTTTTTTTATCAGTTTGATTTTGCTCATAAGAAGATAACTTAACTTTAGGTCTAACTTTTCAATGGTGTATTCAGGAAGTGGACTGTGAAATTCCACACTCCTGGATCCACACCTGAGAAGCACCCTGTGCCAAGTATTCCCGTTGTTATTACTGACAAATCTGGGCAAAACTGTGGATTATGTCAATTCAGATTTCCTTGCTACATACATTGTAGCAAATGTATGCTCAGTCTAAACATACAAATAATAACATTAGTTAGCAGTGTTACAGTAGTTGATACAGGTTAAACTTGTTATGAAGCCTCTAATACCTCCTTTCCTCTACAGCATCTTCAATAAACATATTTGTGCCGAATCTCATTCCCACCCTTCACAACTGAACATGATTATCAAAAACAGTCTCCCTCTCAGCTCCAAAGAACAAGTGCTGTGAACAAATACAGGACTCTGCCTTAGGACCATTTTATGATGCCTAACTATGCCCAGAGATTGGGAAACACTGAAATGAGATCATTATGTATTAGAAGGTTCTTTATACCAGGCTAAGCTGCATTCTTACTGCTAGGTTTCCAGCTCTGTACACTCTCCAGACGTTTTGCTGTATCCCAGCAAGCCTGGGCTGAGGAGGCATAGGGGAGAGAGAACACCCCTGAGACCCTGGATTGTTTTGTCTCAGATTCTCCCAGGCTGACAACTTACCATTCCTTGGTTGGGACTGTTTTCTGTGTCAACACTGTCCAGGGATTTCCTTCTTCGTTTCTTTTCTTCTGAATCCTGCTGTTAGGAGATGAAAGGTGGGATGGGAGGTGGGAAAAGATGTATATGAGGTCACTTCCAGCTACTTCTGGGGGCGATACTGTGGATGGCTGGGAGGTGGTGTCCTGCTCCAGCAAATAAAATCACAGAACAGTTGCAGAGCCTTCTTGGGACTCAACACAGGGTACTGAGATGGGGCTGCCCAGGTAAATCCCTTAGCTTTGCTGAAACACCACCTGCCCTGCACAACACAACAGCAAGAGCCTTCACCACCTGCCCAGCATCCCTGCCACACCTTTCCCCCCCTTGCCTAGCATTTGATGTGTCTCAGGACAAAAGCACACAGAAGATGTCAGAAACATTCCCCTGCCTCCTCCAGCATCAAAGAATATGGTAACACAGCCTCAACATGGATGGACAAACTTATCCATGGAGAAGGACTCCTTTAGACAGGGTGGGAGGGATCCCAAAAGCCAAACTTCCTTGCAGCCTTGCCCTGTCTCATCCATTCTCTTGTCCCCCAGCCTCACCACTCACCTGACTCCTATTCTGAGATGGAAAAGGAGGGTCTGTATCTCACCCTCTCTCTCACCTGCTTGTCTATGTTGCAGAATGGTGTGACTAGATGGGAGGTTCTGAGGGTTGGGCCGAGAAAGACAGGAGGCATGCTAAAGTCCAAAGGGCAGGGCTGTGGGGCGGGGGGAAAGAAGGAACTGTGCAGCAGGTGAACTTTGAGACCTTCATTGTTGCTACTGCATGTACAGAGACCTCAGCAAACAAACACTGGAGAAACAGAAACAGATTCAAAAGAGTTATGCTGTTGTGGTTACCTGGGAGAAAGGAAAGCTGGATCCCATTCAAGTAGGAAGGAGCAGGAAAAGAAACACACACTGCTCTGGGCATGGCATGGCAGCAGAAACCTCTGCAGTCTTCCAACAACACTGACCTTAGCCCTCTGCCTCATCCTTTGCTAAGTCATGCCAGCAGCTGTACTGGGTCCCTCCCTCCCCTGTGAAGCTGACAGCTATGGGGATGTTTGTTGCTACTCTAAGAATGAGTAGTCTGATTTCTTGTTTTCAAGTTTCTTTTTAATAGCTTGTGGAAAATACATTCAACTCATTTGACAGAGCCATGGCTCTCTCCTGCACACAATTTTCCATCTTCTCAAAATTTTTCCACCCTGTTCTCACCCCAACTATGGGCCCAGCTGATTTCCAAAAGGCCAAGGACTTCAGCAGCCTGAGGCAGCTGTAAGGAGTTAGGGAAGGATCACTGTGGACTGAAAAAATCTTGTATTTCAGTCACCATCTGGGAAAACACCAGAAATTGAACTAAACAACTAAAAGAGCAAGATGAATGACTCCTTATAGCTTGAGCATAACAGTAGCTCTGGAGGTCACAGATGGAATAAGTTCATGTCTTCTGTTGGGCAATCTAGAGAAACTCACATACCCAGACACACGCTGCATCTGTACTACCTTTGTCAATTCTGAGCTTTGTCTAAGGAGAAAAGGCTCCAGCCCCTGTGGTTCCTTCTTCTGACTACATTTATGTCAGGCAGAGAGTCAAGGACACCTCAATGGATCATTTCCAAGAAACTTTCTAAAGCCATTCCTGCCCTGGCCTCACCCAGTTACCATCTCTCTCTATGCAGAGCAGAAATAGCTCCCGCAGTACACCTGCTCCTGAGAAGAGTGCTGTTACCTGGCAGTGCTTCCTCCTTTGAATCAAAGATCTGGAGATTAAAATCACGGTATTAAATTGCACCCAAGTCTTCTTCAGCCTCCTGTAATGCTTCCTAGAGGGATGTGAAAAGAAAATAATTGCTAGTGAGGGAAACATCAACAAAATTTAGGCAGACTGTGAACTCAATTTGAGGGGATGGGCCAAACAGAGCATTAATACAATCAGCCAGTTCAGATTTGGTCTTACTGTGTTAAGCCTGTTCCTCTTTTAGATGTTTTCCCAACATCCTCTACTCTACTTATCACAATATCAGTCTTAGCACAGGCAAGTCACTGTAACAATTTTGACAGCAGCTGTATTTCCCCTGGAACCTCTGCTCAGTGTTGGGAACCAGGCTAGGAAGTCCCTCCCTCCATATTTTGCAGGATATCCCCCTGCAAAGCACACCAGGAAGCAACATGAGGAGGGGCCTGGCCAGCCACATCCCCACCTTGCTGTCCTAGGCGAGGACAAAGGGCTACACCTTGCTTGGCCTTTGGCTCCTGACCTTGCCTGGTAACCTCGGAAATGAGCCTGAATGATTGTGACTTTCTCCTGGAGGACACGGAGGCGCCTGCGGTGAAGGAGGTAGCGGAATTTCCTTTGCAGAGTAACAACAGCCCAACTCTGCCTCTGTTTCCATCGTCTCTCCAGAAGCTGCCTGGCCTTCTCCTTCAGAAAAACCTGGGCAAAGGGAACAGCAGTTGAGCCCTAAGGAAAGCAGCCAGCTTCTTTAAGAGTTGATCAACAAAAAAAGCTGCTGGTTTATCTCTTTGTAGCCTTTAAGGCTCCCTGCTAAGGAAACTGCATTCCCTTAACTGGGAAAAGCAGGAGGCACTAGTGTAGGTGTCAGAAATGGATGCATTTGTGGAAAACAGGGAATCAGGGAGTGGTGAAGGTTAGTAGGCAGGAAAGGCAGAAGCCCAGATCTCCATCAAGGAATGCTGGGTAGACAAAGGAGTTGGCCACGCTACTATAACAGCCTGGAGCCAGTCTCCTATTTCTTTATCTGAAATGCTAAAATTCCTGCCTTCATACTTGAGACAAGAGGCAAAGCAAAAGTGAGGTGAAGGCATTCAATGTTCTCCCTCTTTGGGCAGAGCCAAGCTGCTCTCTGTCCATTGGCAGCCAGTGAATAGATGGCTGGGTTATGTGATGAAGATGGGCTTCTCTATAGGCATCACCTTTGTTTTTCCAATCTGATAGAGATCTGAGGGGTTTCCCACCACATGAGACAGCACAGCCGCACAGCCTTCTCTCTCCTCCAAGCAGTTGTGCCTTTGCCCAGCCAGGAGGCCATACCTGGAAGATAAGATGTTGATATGATGGAAGCCAGGGAGTCTTCAGAGGAGAACAAATCAATATGCGCTGATAAGTTCATCCAGGTTTTGAGTGGCCAGGGAATCCCAAGCCATTACACCACTGTACCTGGCTAAGAAGTTCTGGAATGGAAGACGGACTGGGTATCCCTCCTTTCTAATGTGGATAGCCTCCAGTATCCCAGAATGCCGCAGCTGACAACTGACATACCCCACATCAAAGATATTTGACAGCTGTGAATATAAGGCAGAATAAAAATTGTAAAACAAGAACAAAAGAAAGGGGGAAAAAAAAAAAGAAGACAGAAGATAGAGTTTAGAAAGGGTCTCCTATTGTCCTGTCCTTGGGTTGGATCATGCCATGGTCTATAGGTGATGGAACACAAAAGCCAACACATTCTTTGGTGTCCAGCTAACACTGTTGTCTTATCCTCTAGTATGTGGTCAGCTCACATGGGCACAGAGAAAGGGAAAGAAAAATTTCAAGCTATCAAATGAAGCAAAGAAGACCAAACTCCAACTGTGAAAGGAGAGCTGCTGGAGAGGACTGGACTTCAAGGAACAGAGGGACTCCATAAGGAGCTGAGGGTGCTGCCCTACCTTTTTGGGATTAGGGGTGATGCACCGAATGAAGAAGGTATTGCTCCTGCAAAACAGAAGGAAGAATTTTTGATCATCTGCCTCTCTGTGCTGACCTGGGAAGACTTTATACACATCTGGGTGCAGCAATCAGCCCAGTGCAGGGATGGCACCATAACAGTATCTGTCACCTTCTCAGCTTGCCTGTGAGGTCCTGCAAAGATTGCTGGAATTTGGACACCAGTGTAGAGGTCTGAGGCTTGAGCTCTTTGCCTCTGGCCCCCAGCTCCCTTTGCTGACTATAAGCAGCTTTAGCCTTCTGGAAAATGTGAGACACCACCTGCAAAAACAAAGAAATGACCTGAACTGCATAGAAAGAACAATCTCTTCTACCTGAAACTGGGGGACTATTCTCCCTTGCCTCTAGCAGTGCCAGGAATCCATCTGAAGCCTCAGGTAATCCGTGCATTTTATATATAAAATGCATCAACTGTGGGCAAAGATGATTTGCTCAGTTCCCATCCCTCCAGAAAACCAGGCATTCTCCCTTGTCTCTAGCAGTGCCAGGAATCCATCTAAAGCCTCAGGTAATCCATGCTTTTTATATATAAAATGCATCAACTGTAGGCAAAGATGACTTGCTCAGTTCCCATCCCTCCAGAAAACCAGGATCTTTCTGCTTTTCACATGAAAGCAATCAGTGGCTTGTAAGGTGTCTGCAATAGAGATCTTCATCCTGAACAGTACCTTGAGGCGGCTCTGAGAGAAGATATCCAGCACCTCTGGACGTAGCTGGTCACGGTTTTTACTAAGAAACTTGTGGACCTGCAGAAGCAAAGTCTGATTTAATTCACCATTCAGACCACCAACCAGACAGGCAAACATCGCTCTCTACACACACCTTGACGTGGGGCAGACAGTTGGAGAGGTGGAACAAGGGGAAAGCCCTAGAGAATGAAGCTTGATGTTCCTGCTGCCACCAGGAGTGCTTTCAGGAGTGGATTGCTCCTTTTCCCCTTCACATTGCTCAGCAGGCTTTGGCCCTTCACTTTCTTTCAGGAGTAACAGCTTTCCTGGATTTCCAGGGCTCTGAGAGAAGTAATGTGGGCTGTGTGTAGCTTAGGCTATTATCTATTTTTTTCTGCTCAGAGGTGGCTTAATTGCCTCTTCTAATAAGAATCTCCTTGTTTCTGAGAAACTGATGCTCTAGAGGGATGTGCAGTTACAAAGAGAAGGCAGCACTTGGAGATGGTCCATCAGGACAACCCCAGCATGCTTCCAAGCTGGCCTATTGCTCCAACTGCTCAGAGGTCCCTGCCAGCTCACCTGGTAGGTGACAGGGCCTGCATAGTGCTTCACAGTGAAGACTGGCAAAGGCAACTTGGGCTTGGTGTACCATGGACTGTTACCATTATGGTAATGACACTTCTGGAGGAAAGTGTGGTCAGTGGCCTGTAAAGGAGATGACAAACATGTTTCCTGCTGCTGCAACATGTTCAGGAGGCTGAAAAGCTGCTGTTAAATCAAAAGTAAAAACATCTAATACTTGTGTGAACACAGTCCCTGTTCAATCTATGTAACGGCCTCACCACAACCATCCCGTGAAAATGATCACATAAGAGGATAAGAGCTTCTCACCTGAGTCAGTGAAGTCTGGTCATCCAAGATAGACAAGATGCCGTGGGGTTTTGCAGCAATGAAATCTAGGCATGAGTCACTGTATGTCTTGGAAACAGGAATCCAAACTAACTGCTCTTGGCTATATTCCTCCTGCATGTTAAAGACCAACCAGTCAAATCCAGCCATGCAAACAAGAACAAGTGGAGGGAGTTAACAGAGGGAGTCGGGTTATTCATCAGGAAGCTGGTGTTTCACTGCTGTTAGAAACTTGCCTAGAATGATCTGGTTTTGCCTTATGAAACTTCTTCTGAAGCCAGTAATGACTTTCCTAATTTAAGAGAGGAAGACTGCTAAGCAGAGTGATAAAATAAACTGTAAAAGGCAACAAGTCTGATAAATACAATTCCATCTCCAGGTGGACATGAATGGTACATAAAATGCTACAATGAATCTACCAAACAGGCTTTTAAAGTACCAGCTGAGGTCTGGGGTCCTTGATCCTGACCAACTCACTTATAAAATCCATAAAAGGGAGCAAGGCACTAACTCCCCTTTCCTTAATTTAACACTCAATTAGTAAAAGGTATTAAATAACCAGCTGTTTGGACTAGGATTATATGGGTACTGCTTAGAAGAGTCAGGTCCATTCAGCTGCCTGTCTCCTTGTTAAAGGACACTCTCCAGCTGAGGCTGGCTCAGCTCATTCCATATGTGCTGCCTCTCACCTTCTGGCATCAGTTCCATTTACCTCTTCCTGGGCAATGACAGTTTGGCTGAAAAAATGCTGGAGATGCTCATTGGCAAAGTTGATGCAGAGTTGCTCTAAGCTGTTCACACCTAGATCCTGCAAAGACAAAAAGGCATCATCACTTCCAACCCACAGCCCTCCCAGGAGGCTGCATCTTCTGTGAATAATGCACAGCACCAGACAGGTGCTGATAGGAGCTGCTGGTTCAGGCAGCTTGTTCTGATCAGGAAGTGTGAATGAACCTGAGAAATTCAGGTCATCTTATGTCTGGTTTGCAAGCTCTCAGCCTGGTTTATTGACTAGGCTGAACAGCAAGAGGCAAGCTTGAAGGAGCACAAAGAAGAGATTTACTCTTGGATGCACACCCTTACCTGTATATGCTCCTTTGTTTTCAGCATTCATCAGAACACACAGATCTTAACAGGAATCCTAACTACAAAACTCACAGGCCTTGATGAGCACATATCCTCATATCCACATTTCCCCCCTGCTCGGCCTGTTATTTACTTATTGCAAGTCTGGGAAGCCCCCAGAAGCTCAGTGGGGCAGAGACATGGGTGTACACCTGCTACCAGGGTAACAATTCCTGACCCAGAACTCAGGATGCTGCCCTAACCTCAATTTCAAAAATTAACACCTTGCAGGGCCCTTGCTTACAAAATTCTCTGCACTTCTATCCCTGGCCTGATCCTAAGCCTACTGGATCAGGGAGAATCACTTCAGAAACTTCAGTGGATTCTGGACTTTTCCCTATTCAAGCTGGGAATAACAGAAAAACAGGATATGCTGAAGTATATAAAAAGAAATAAACTGTAAAAGATAGTGCTAACATATTTCCAGTTTTATTCAAGACTTCAGGAACAAATGGGAACAGTTAGATTAAAACTATATTAAAAATGTTTTTCTTACTTCTGTCAGCAATAGCATGAGGAATAGTTAAAATGTGATTCACCAAGAGTCAGCTCATTCAGCTCACCTTATCAGTACAGCACATTTATACTGGGTATTTCTCTGGGTTTGGTCTCTCAAACCAGGCTGATTAGTAGTTTGACTCTCCAAGCCGACTCTCCAAGCCACTGCTGAGCAGCAGAACACAGGCTGCAGGGAAAGGACTCTAATTCTAGCTTTGCCACACAGCTGTGGAGGACTATGGGCTCCTCCAGAGAGCAATTCATAACAGGAGTCTATAGTAAAAGTGTTAAATCACATCCTGAAGGAGCATTTCTCTACTGCCTCCAAAAAAAAAAAGTACCCCCCCTGAATAGAGATATTTGTGTTACATGGTACAATTACCAGCTCCTTTCTGGGGGAGGGAAGAAAAAAGAAAAGGGGTGAAAAAGGGGGGTAAAAAAGGGGGGTGAAA